CAAAGCAATTATACCAATAAAGGATAAAAATCTTATACTGAACATGCAATGTCTAAATTTTAATACATTTGAGACATTTTATAGTAAAGCTCTAAGTAAACTTAGAAAATAATATTTATTGAGTTTCTTATAGAAAATAATATTTATTAAATTCTTCAAGCATATTATTGCTAATATCTACAACTATCCTACATTTCAAATACTAGAAAACTGAAAATCACAAAAGTGGAACCCAAGGTCCATACCTCGGAAAATCAGAAATAGTATTTATATAAAGATCTGAGCCCCAGTTCTTTCCTCTTCATTTTGCTATAATATCAAGCTTAGAATATTTCATGTAGGGCAGAAGTTTTCATAATATTTATGTTTTTCAGTATGTAAAATGCTGAAATATGAACAGCTAAATAATAAATCTGCATAATATTAAAATAATCTGAAACCCGTAATTTTATACAAAATCATTGCAGATACTTAGAACTTTACTCAAATTCTCTGTTACAAAGCTTCTCTACATTAAAACATATATTTTTGAGAAATGCTGTGAACATAGAGTGAATAGAGCATATAAAGCACTTAGTACATTGCCTGACACAAAACAAACACTCCATAAATGTTGCCTGTTGTGATGAGAAATCACCACAGGGCTGTATTTTGTACGATTTTGTTGAGCAATATCTAGACACCTGATCTAAAATCTACTAACACTGAACTGCTCTAGTGCTAAGCAATGGTGAGTGTCAATAGAAGTTTCTGTCTTGAAGTGTTTTTTTCAGGGGAGGGGGTAGTTAATGAAGGTTGAACTCAGGACCTAGTATTTGCTAAGAAGGTGCTCTATCATTTGAGCCACATCCCTAGCTCTCTTAGAAATCTTAAGAAAGAAACAAACTCTGAGACAGTTAATGATTCAGAAGCTAGATAAGCTGCTTGCCCTCATCAATTCCTCTCTCATCAGATTTACCAATAACCTCCAAACCTACTAGTAAGGTTAAAGCCTTCAATTTCATTCATTTTTAAAATGTATTTATTTTTATTATAAAGGGGATGAACAGAGGAATTACAGTTACATCAGATAAAGAGTAAAAGTTAAAGTTAAGTCAGATAAAGAATACATTTCTTTCTGATTAATGTCATACCTTCCTTCCCTCTCTCCCAGTTTTTCCCTACTGTCCCCATATAGTTCATTTTCAACACAGTGTCTAGTATCACTACAGCATTTATTCACCCTTTGCCCCACAATTTCTTTGCCTCTTCTTGCCCTCCCAAAGACAGGTAAAGAAACACATAAGACAAAAGGAAGTGAAAACAAAAATAGCAACAAAGAAGAAGAAAAAAACTCTTGTTCCCATTCCCTGGAGTTCATTTCAATAAATATTACTTTATATGGTCAGATGCATATAGCTATTGCACCTATGTGATCCTCTCCTAATATCTTCCTTTGTTTTCACTGCATAAATGCCTAGAGACTTACATAATTTATCATGTCCCAGTGGATTTTTTTTCTTTTACCACTGAATGTGTTTACTTATAGATTTATAGGCATGTTCCAGCTGCCACAAATGAAGGAAACAATGCAACCTATGGTTCTATGGGTCTGGGTTACTTTGCTTAATATAATTTTTCCAAGTCTTTATTTTCTTTATGAATGGTACAATATTATTCTTTCTGATTGATTGAGTAGAATTCCATTTTGTGTATTTAGCACATTTTCTTAATCCATTCATCCACTGAGGGGCATCTAGGCTGATTCCACAATTTGGCTATGGTAAACAATGCTGGCACAAGAATAGGCATGAGGACCAATGGAACAGAAGACCCGAATGGAATAGAAGACCTATAGCCACCTAGTATTTGATAAGGAGCCAAAAACACAGGATGGAAGAAAGACAACTTCTTCAACAAATGGTGCTAGAAAAATTGTCTAGTCACATTCAGAAATACGAAGCTAGATCCTTATGTATCAACCTACATCAGAATCAATTCCAAATGGATCAAAGACCTCAATGTAAGGCCAGACACCATGAAATATTACAGGAAGTGGTAGGGGAAACTCTAGGGCTCCTAGTGGCAGGTCAAACCTTCCTAAGTAAAAATCCAGAATCACAACAAATCAAAGAAAGACTGGAAAAATAAGATCACATCAAACTGAAGATTCCACATGGCAAAGGACATAGCTAACAGGATAAAGAGGAAAGCCCACAGAATAGGAGATCTTTACTAGCTATGCATCAGACAAGGGCCTCATATCTACAATATACTTAGAGCTCAAAAAATTAATTGTCCCAAATAAACTCTCAAAGAAAGAACAACCCAATTAATAAACAATCTAAAGACTAAAGGGTGACTTCTCAGTCAAAGAAATAAGAATGGCAATGGACATGGGAAGAAATGCTCAACATTGCTGGCCATAAAAGAAATGCAAATCAAAACAACATTGAGATTCCACCTCATCCCAGTTAGAATGGTCATTATCAAGAAAACTAACAGTAACAAATGCTGGCAAAAGGAAACTCTGCTACACTGATGGTGGGAATGTAAACTTGTTCAACCACTTTGGAAAGCAGTATGGAGGTTCCTCAAAAGACTAAACATAGAGGTTCCTTAAAAGACTAAATGTAGAGCTTCCCAGCAATTCCACTCCTGGGCATTTACCCAACAGAATACAAACACCACCACACTAATACTACCACTAGAACTATGTTCACTGAAATACTCTTGATTATACTTTAATCTCTCAGGTTATACTTTCTCAATATCCCTGCAGCTGCTCAATTCATCTTAGGCCTCCCTTAAGGCAATTTCATCCACCTCCCTGTCTTCAGTAATTATCTCCACTCCAAATAATTCTTTACATGACTGTTCAGAATTTTCTTACCAACAGCTTTATTGATGTCATCATCTATTTGTCTATCTTAAAGATACCTCAAACTTTTTATATCCCAAACCAAATTCATGATTCCTCTGCAACCTAGGCAAAACCACTCCCAATTCTCCCTATCCATTTGCAAAAGATAGAAAATGAGAAGTGGTCTTTGATGCCTTCTACTCTCTTGCCCTCTCATTTCCCTACACCCTATTAATTTATCTTGTAGATATATTTCATCAATCCTTACCTCATCTCCACTGTTACTTCTAACATGTGCCCCATTATTTATCTTCAATACTCATCATTGTATCCATAATTATGTTTTTAATGTATCATGTTGTGTTCCCATTTAAGTACCCTCAATGGCTTCCCATATTCTTAATTTTTATGGTCAGAATTACTATCACAGCCTATAAGATACTACAAGAGCTGCCTTCAGCTTACTTCCTCCTCCCTAAGGCCCTCTGTGTATCTACACTTTTCTCCTAGCTCCTTACACAGAAAAATCATATATCCACCAGTTCTGAGGTCCGTTCACTTAAGTTTTCCTCCACCTTTCCTCCACTCTTTGCTGTTGTCTTCATTTATTTAATTTCTATTATATTCCAGCTAAGATAGCACCCAAGACAACAAGTCATTCAGTGATTCATTTACTTATTGATCATGTGCTATATACAATATTCATTTCTCTATATATATGGAACTAATCAACAAATAAGAGCCCCTTGGAGTTTACATTTCTATTTAAAGGAGACAATTAGTTATCAAAATAGACTAGTAGAGTCAACCCCCAATGAATGCTATTAGGAAAAAAGAAAGTAAGAAAAATCCAAGGTAAGAAAATTAGGAGTGAAGAGTTTCCAGTGCCTAATTTGATATGTGGTATATAATTAGTATTTAATAAATATGTTGAATAGATGAATAAAATATTAGCATGTTCAATTGTGAGAAAGCTAAACTTGAAAAGGAATAGAAGAAACAGAAATGTTGCTGAAAGAAAAAGAAACCATAAAGGGGCCCTTGAGATATAATGGTCTCTTGAACCATTACTGATTATTTCATATAGTTTCCAGGTCCAATTTCTGAATCACACACAGACACAAATACAAATACACATTAATGCTGTGGTAATTCAAGTGGGTCACACTTATTACATCTAAAAACTTCATGAGGGCATGTATATAGTTATGGATACCACTTCAGTCATCCATCACTGTACATATATCTCTAGCCCACTGGTATCCTATACATATACTGATGTTATCTCTTGTATTAACGTTTCAGTTCTGTAGTCCCCAGCCTCTCTTAAGAACAAATTCCCTCACCAGTTCTCTTCCATGATCCTGTAAGGCACTTTTGTCACTAACTCTCTAAGCTCAGACAACCCAATCAGGGTCTCTTAAGGAAAAGGACTCTGGGTCTCCCTTCCCTTAAATGCTATCTTTCCCTCAAAGAGATGGAGAGATGCACACTTTTGTGATTCTGAATGACCTTTAAGATTCCGTATACACTCCTGCTCAGGCTTCAGCCTCCTTTGGTAGGCTCCTAAGGGACTGGGGCTCTGGATGTCCTCTCAATCCTCTTGTCTTCTTAAGGACTCATATAAAGATCCATACAGTTTCTCTGTGTCCAGAGGTGACCCTGAGCACTCAACACATTCTTAAAATACAAATACACTGAGTAAATCCCTTTCCATAGCTTTACTGAAGCCATACACCTCTACCTGCCTCTTTGGAACCAGAGCCTCCCCTCACTGCAAACCATGCTCAGGAAGGATCCCTCCCATCTTCCCACGGCTGGAGAACGCTGTCTCCGTGACGCAGCCTATCCCAAGGTACCACACAGGTGCCCCTCAACATTAGGTCCTGGTCTGCCCTCGTGTCCCAGCTCTTTCTGGGCCCATGCTCACTCGAGCGTGTGCACGCACCCCCCACACACCCTTTCACCAGCAGAACTTCGAGGTCACTCAGAGGGGTACACACCAACCTTGACCCCTGACCCCGAGGTCACAGCTCCACCAAGCAAACACACAGGAGGGTCTCCTCATAGGTTAGAGCCACGTCTACTCCCTTGTCCTTCGCAGGCCCAGGACAGCCAGGCAACCTCAGCTTTTTCTTCACCGACCGCCCCCACAGACCTGCCTCAGGCGTCGTCTGGCTCCGCTCCGCCATTTTTGTTGTCCCTCAGACTCGGAGCCCACGTAAAAGCTGCGGGGCAGTGGGGAGCGAGCGGAGTGGTGGGAATCTGCCGGCTGACAGGAGCTCCCTCCGGAAGACGCTGCGCTATGGTTGCCAAGGCAACGCGCGGGCTGCGCGAGAGAGGCGGGCGTACGGCTAGTGAGGAGGCTGGGAGGGGCGTGGTCAAAGAGCGCGTGCCGCCTAGGGCCCGCCCACACGGTGCCAATTCCCTTTAGAACCTGGTTCCCGGGGGCGGGACTAAGCCTCCAGGCCCCTCCCGACCTAGCCTCCGAGTTCTAGCAACTGAGCATGCTCAGCTAACTAGGCAATGGATGGTATAGTCCTGAAGCTGCCCCAGAGCCCAGCTGAACTGCATTTCTGTGGTTGGTGCTGAACTTTGGGGATTTGAAAGTGAAGATTTCAAGGAAAGTGAATGCAGTAGCTGAGTCTTAAAGACTGGACAACGTGTCATGGGGCAAAGGAGAAGAATGTACAGGACACAGAAATCTCTTGAGTCAAGTACAGATGTGTGGGTGATCTTCAGGAAACTGCAAGGAATCAAGTATAGCTGAGCGTAGTTACACAAAAGAAATTGTCGCCTCTATAGAGGTCATAGTGCATTTGGGTCCTCCAAAAGCAAAGCCTGAGGAAAGAATTTGAAAATCTGAGAGGAAACCAGTGAAGACAGAAAGATAGGAAAAGGAGAAAAGCCAAGAAAAAAAATGCTTTAGTAGACAGCTGTACTTTTGTGTTTGACTGTGTCAAATATGTCTCAGTCATTATCCCACTGAAGAAGAAGGAAGTTGGGACATTTACTGGTTCAGAGTTACTCTCGATCTCAAACCTTGAATTCTCTCATGTTTTCTGGTTATGTTGCCCCAGGCTGAGTTAGACTTACGAAGTTTAGGGAAAAGACTTTGGGTAGAAAAGCAGAGATATCAGAAAACGTTTAAGGTAAATATTGGCAAAATGAACGAAACTGTCCTCTCATTTGCACTGAAATCAGGGATAAAATGTGAGCAACATAAAAATCTTCCACAGAAAGTTGCCATCAGGATTAATTGCTTTTTTTTAATGTCCAAGCACCAGTGACTTGGGCCGTACTCTTAGCTACTCGGGAGGCTGATATCTGAGGAATGCCATTCCAAGCCAGCCTGGGCAAAAAAGTAAATGATGAGACTCATTCCAATAAAATACAAAAAAAAAAAAATTTAAGTCCAGAAATAGAGCTATGATTCAAGTTATAGAACACTAGCCTTGAGCAAAAGACACTCAGGGACAGCTCCCAGGCCCTGAGTTCAAGCCCTGGAGTGGCACCATAGATAGATAGATAGATAGATAGATAGATAGATAGATAGATAGATAGATAGATAGATAGATAGATAGATAGATAGATAGATAGATAGATAGATAGATAGATAGATAGAGAGAGAGATAGAGAGAGAGATAGATAGATAGATAGATAGATAGATAGATAGATAGATAGATAGATAGATAGATAGATAGATAGATAGATAGATAGATAGATAGATAGATAGATAGATAGATAGATAGATATGTCCCTGGATTGTAATGGGAAATAACCATCAAAACTGTCTTTCACATGTGAGTAGTTTAAAATTCACAGTATGCCCATACAATCATCAAGATGAACCTGTCATTTTTCACCTGTCATCATGACAGGCAGAAGTTCTAAGAGTTGTGGGAATTTCACTATAGGAGGAGCTTCTGAAGACTGAAGAAAACCAAAGGGACTTCATTATATATATGGAGATAGAAAAATTAAATGAAAAGAAAGACCTGAGCGCCACTAAGACTCTGGCCTTATTACAGCTTTATAATCTTGGGCAAATTATTTAAATCTATTGGGCCTGAGTTTTCATTTCCAAAAAAGAAAAAAATTGAGACAAATGCTCTGCCTACCACAAAGCATTGCTCTAAGACATATGGGGAATTCGACAAGTATAAACTAAGGAAATTGTTTACAAAGAAAAAATAAACATGATTAGAATAATCACTTAAACATCTGATGCTGCTACTGATCCAGATTCTATACAGATATTCTATTGAAGAAAGAGATGTTAAATATGACTCAATATATAACTTCACTGTTCAATTTTAACTTTAAATAAAATATAGAACACAGTTACTTTGCCATACTAGCCACATTTTGCATTCTCATAGTCACATGTAACTAGTGGCTCTCATATTAGGCAGCATATGCATAGAACATTTCAATCATTGCAAAAACTTCTGTTAGGGATGATAGACAAATGCCAGCTGCACCAACTAGATGAAATGCTTGAAAAATTAGATGGCTGACAGGATCAGATTCAGTTCTCCTGGGTGTCAACTACTATGCAGGAAGCAGTACAGAGGGAGTGTAGACTCCTCTATTCTTGCTGGGGTCCTCAGAGACTTCCATTTCGTTATGTGAAAGAACACAGCATGGATAAAAGGTTAGAAATACCCCCTACATGGACTCTTAGGAATTAGTTTTCCCATGATAACCATTCAAAGTGTCTCTTGGAGGGCCTCTTTCCCTGGGGATACCCCATTGTCTCTGTATCACATATAGCACCCACCCACTACAGAGTCAGGATGCCACATTTCAAACAATCCATGTGGATTCACTTACTCTTTCTGTAAACATTGATTAAAATGACACGTTCTGTAAATCTACCCATTGAATTATATGTAACATGGGATAACAGAAATATCCAAGTTATTATCACATTTTCACATGCTCAAACACTTTATCCTCAAAGAAATATTATAAAATTGATATTTATGCCATCTTGTCTATAAGATAAAAATGCGGCTCCAAGAGTTGAGTGACTTACACAGTCACAGCTAGAAAAAATCAGGCTCAGAGAAGAGAGAAATGGTGCTACAGTATCCACCTATGTTAAATCATATAGATGTCACATAAAAATATTACGTCTTTAAAGTTTATAAATTACTTGGAAAGAATAAGGTTAACATGCTCAGGAACAGTTTACAATTTCCAGCATGGTAAGAACAATAACACATGCATGCTCAGAAAAGTGAAGCACACCAAAGAGGAATAATCTTTCCTTCTTCTTTTCTGAAGGAGCTGAGAACAAAAGATGAAGGATGAAGACTCTTATCTCCAATTAAGTATCAAAAAAGCTGAAAGCAGAGCTGTTGCTCAAGTGATAGAGCACTAGCCTTGTGTACAAAAGCACAGGGACAATCCCAGGCACTGAGTTCAAGCCCTAGGACTGGCACACGCACACACACACACACACACACACACACACACACACACACACACACACACACACACACACACACACACACACCATGGTATTAATGTATAAGTTTAACTTAAAGAATGATATCTTATACTATGTATTATTTATGCCTTAGTATCATTACAAATGGTAATTTATGAGAATTTTCTCAGATCATAAAATATTCTTTGAAAATAGAATTCCTGTTGCTATAATATATAGCTCTTAGGGATGTATCATAACTAATTAAACCATTCTTTTCTTGGATATAAAGGCTGAATGCTACTTTTTTCCTACCATAAACAGTGCTACCACTGACCCCCTTGTACATATGCCTTTCATCATCATTTCTGATGGCTTTCTTGGTTTGGAGTGCTATGAGGCCACTGAACTTCACAAGTTCAAAATATAATGACAATTTCTTATTTCTGATAGACCTTATCCCTATTTGCACCACTGGTACAGTACAAGTACCTGTCACATGATATTCTGACAACATTCTGGCTATGATATTTACAGAGAAAAAACTGTCTTACCCAATTAACCAGGTCATATGAACTGAAAGACCTTAACCATCTGCCGAGAAGAAATTTGAGAACTTTGATTTGAACATAAAAATACCGATTGTACTTGTCACAGATGGGGCACCTATAAGGGGAAAAAAGGGGGGGGATCTTGTTTTTAACACTATTTCCATCAAAAGAGAAGGGTGTGGACTACAGGCTCCATGTCTTTCAGAAAGACTTTGTGATATGAAGTAGGTACACCTCACTTTCTGTACCCTCATGAAGGAACAAGTCAAAATGTCCAGTTTTTTTCCTCAATGCTCTTGCCTTCAACTGGAATGTCATAAAAGACAAAGTAGTACATGGACACCTAATTTATTTTAAAGACCTCGGATTTTTTCATTGTTTAAACTTACCAAATTAGTAAATAGGAGGCTGAGAGCAAAAGGCTTTAAGACAACCATTTGTTATATCTCCAATTGTCATTGAAATTTGACATTCTTACATGACAAAATAACTAAACCTACTGAGCATTAAGTAAAGACGTTTAAACTGAGCCCTTAGAACCTCATTTCAGTGGTCAAAACAATAGAAACTCTTAGAACTGCATGGTAGAAATAGCATGATGGTTTCAGAAGAGATTTTCCATATATCATGCCAATGAACTTACATTTCCAGAATTGTTCTTTGAAGTTATTTGTGTAATTATTTATCAGCTATCTTCTCAATTATAAGTTCATTGAGAACAGTAACTTTACCTATTTCTGCTCTGTTGTATCTCTAATGGTTAGAAAAGGTTCTGCCACATGATAATACCTCCTAAATATTTTCAAACGACTAGATGAATAAATTAATGATCGAATAAATGGGATGATAGCTCTATTAGCATTTATTTAGGAAATACAAACAAGGAGCAACTAGTGTAAACCTGGAGTTGAAACAGAGTGTGATCAATGGAGATTTCCCAGAGACAAGTAAAACATGAGCAAAGTTTAAAGGGCCACGTAAAAATGAAGGTTCCTAGTTCAAGGAAGCAATAAGAGGTATGAGGAGTATAGTGAAAACACAGCTTAATTTTTCAGGAAACTCAGTGATTTGGAAGACAATAATATGAACAAGAGAAATGGCTCTGGGTGAGTTGAGAACTTGAAGATAATTTTGGACACCCTAAAACACAGTTGACTCCCAAAGATGTTTTAAAAAAGTTCTCTAAGTGCCCCCAAAGATGATCAAAATCCTCCTTTCACTAGAGTTCACAGCAATAGACAATTATAAACATTTAATGAGAGAGCTCTCATCTTCAAATGTATGCCCTGTCCACTCTCCTCCTGTATCATCTACTCTCCAACTAAGACCTAAAAGAGACTCATAACATCTACCTTC